ATATTAATCTACACAAATCAGTAGCATTTCTATACCCTAATAACACTCACCTTGAGAGTCAAATCAAGAACTCTATTTATGATAGTCCAAATAAAATTAAATAGTTAGCAGTATACTTACTCATAGAAGTAAATGATAGCTACAAGGAGGACTACAAAACACTGGTGAAAGGAATTATAGACGAACAAACAAATGAAAAATATTCTATACTCATCAATTGGAAGAATCAACATCATTAAAATGTCCATCCTGCCTGAAGTGATTTACAGATTCAACATAATTCTCATCAACATACTAACCTTGTTCTTTATGAATCTAGAGAAAAATGTTTCTAAACTTCACATGGATCAAAAAAGAGCCTGAATAGCCAAAACAATCTTCACTGAAACGTATAAATATGGAGGCATCATTGTACGTGAACTAAAATTAAACTACCAAGCTATAGTATAACCTTAATATGTATCTATACAGGTAGACCCATACACCAAGGAAACAGGATAGGGAACCTAAAAATAAATCCATGTAGCTATGATCAACTGATCTTCAACAAAGTAGATAAAAACAGACAGTGGGCACAAGCTTCTCTTTTTAATGAAGATGTTTGGGAAAATGGATAGCTAATTGTAGAATGACACTGTATACCTATCTCTCACCATAAAAAAATTAACTCAAGCATAATTACATACTGAAAACTTGAAACCATAATAATTCCAGGAAAACACTTAGGTAAAATATCCTCTTTACATTAGCCTAGGGAAAGAATTTACAACTAAGATCTCAAGAGGAAATATGGTAACAATAAAAATAAATAAGTAGGGATTTAACTAAACTAAATTTTTTTCCTAAGGCAAAGGATATAATCAAAAGAATAATTAGGAAAGCTAATGAATGGGAGAAAATATTCACAAACTATACATTTGACAAAGGACTAAAAAACCCAGTAGTAACAAAAAACTTAAAAATATCAGTGGAAAATTTTTTAAAAAGCATTAAAATATGGGCGAAAGAAATGAATAATTTATCAAAAGAAGAAAATAAATGGTCACCATATATATAAAAAACTATTCAACATCACTGATTATGAGGGAAAGGCACATTAAGACCATAATTGATACCACTTTACCCTTTAGAATGTCCATTATTTAAATGGCAAAAAAACACAATCACCAGTATAGATGTGCTGAAAAAGGAAGACTTGTACACTAATGATGGAAGACTTGTACACTAAACTAATACAAGCTCTATGGGAAAGTGTGTGGAGTTTCCTCAAAGAAGTAAAAGTAGACTTTCCATCATTACTATTAATAATTTTGAAATATATACAGGAATGAGTCTTTTTCTAATTTCAATAATAACTAGAAGATTTCCATGTAGAAATTTCTGAAGAATTATTGCTATGCATTTCATATTTTCTATTGTCATGTTAACTTTAATTCTGTAATTGTTAATGGCATAAAATGTATATTTGTATATTTAACTTAAAAATAGGATAATGATAAATATGAAAAAATATATACTCTATTGGTAAGGACATTTTCCTCTTTGGCTTTCAGGGGACTATGGGGTCACATGCTGATTTTGTGAAGACGATTTTTGTTTATGTTTCTCTGTGGTTATCACATAGCACAAAAAAGTATGCATGGACCTGGTATTCATTTCTTTATTCATTTCTTTTGTGAATCAGCTTTCATTAGTGTTTCTATATTTTATGTGTAGACCAAGACAACTGTTATTGTTCCAATGTTCAGCAGAGAAGAAGAAAAAAAAAAAAGGTTGGACATCCCTGAAACCATTAGAAACTTACAGGATAAAGGATAAAATTAATGACAGCTCAAAGTTTATGTAACAAATTTCATTTAAATTTAGGTCTCAGTTCTGTGCATTGAGACATCAGTGTGATGCCTAGTTTCATGTCTTTAGAAATACAAATGTAGAGTTCACAATGATTGTCTAAGGCAATGAAGCAAGTAATTAAGAGATTATTAAATCTAAAGTGGGGGAGAAAAGAGAAAAGATAATTTAAAAATGGCAAAAAAAATCATATAAATCTGTGTATGTAAAAAAAAAGTTGGAGAAGAGTGGAAAGGATCATGTAGAGGAGTAAGAAACTTTCTACACAGTTTCACAATGTAAAATGTCACAACCCTTTGGAGAGTTGTCTTAGAGGAAACTGACTCAAGCAGTTTAACATTCAGTTGTCATATTCTATTCAGCAATGCCAAATGTACATATGTATATATGCATGCAAACATAAAAGAAATGAAAAGATAAGTCCAGACAAAACATAGATGATTGTTTCTAGAAGCATACTATATCATACACAAATACTTAAAACACCCATCGGCTGATACATGAAGAGAACGTGTTATATCCAAACAATGGATGAACTTCGAAGGTAATATGCAGTGAATGAATCCAAACATAAAAAGGCCATGTATTATATGATTCAATTTATATGGAAAAATGAAGAGAAAGTAAATCTACAGAGGCAAAAACTATATTAGCAAGGCTTAGATAGGGCTCAGGTGGATGCTCTAATGAGGACTGGCAGCTAGAGGACACTGGGATCCTTTATGAGGTGTCTATTTATTTATTTTGATTTTTTGTAATCTTTATTTATTTTTGAAATATTGGCAAATATCTGTAACTGTAGTGAGATTTATTTTTGTAAAATTGGCAAATATGTGTAACTAAACTAAAATCAGGGAAATGGACACTTCAAGTGTTTGAATGTATGGTCTGTAAAATGTATCTTAATAAACCATTACAAACAAGAAAACAAATGTAAGGGGCAATGAAAGAAAAAAAAAATCTTGAGTTAATTATATCCTTACTCCAAGCTGAGCCTATGTCTGATGCTTAGTTCCTCCCCTTAGCGAAGGGAAGGATATTTTTAGCATTCTGTAGAACAAAGCTCACCAGAGCAGAGAGGGTAGAGAGTGGTACTTTGGGACAGGCACACAGATTGGCAGCTTCACTTTGTTCTAAAAACAGGCCTCTGCTCTGGGTTCACAGGCTAACTAAAGCTGTTCATAGGTATGGTTTGCCTTCTCTGGCTATACTCCTCACCAGATAGGCAGCACTGGTGGCTCATAGACCCCGCCCCTCTGACACCCACTCAGGACAATTGTTGCCTTGGCTAAATTGTGACATAAAGGACAACCATCCCTGAAGTTGCCTCAGCAGGACCCTGACTGCCAGAAATGAGGAAAGATTAGTGGGTTGACGATGGGGTGTTCTGGTGCAATGGAGACAACTTGCTAGCTCCACAAGCTAACTTGCTTGCTAACTTGCTAGGCGTGACGGCCTAAGAATTCTGGAATCCCGTGGCTTCAAAACTTCCAAAGGTGCCTGTCTCACAAAGTGGCCTAAGTGTTCTTTCCTTATGTGGGCGAGGTTCAAGAAAGGAAGATCCAGACATGTTTAATCCACACATATTAGATGTTCCAGCTGCGATTATTGACAACGGTACAGGAATCTGCAAAGTGGGTTTCTCTGGAGAGACCAGACCTCGCCATATCATCAGCTCTGTCGTCGGCCATCCTAAAGTTAACATTCCTTCAGAAAGAGGCAATGAGAAGAAGTACTTTGTGGGGGAAGAAGCCCTGTACAAGCATGAGACATTACATTTGCACTACCCCATTGAACGTGGACTGGTCACAGGATGGGATGATGTGGAAAAACTCTGGAAACACCTTTTTGAGTGCAACCTGGGAGTGAAACCCTGTGACCAACCTGTACTCATGACTGAGCCCTCCATGAACCCAAGGGAGACTCGAGAGAAGCTTGCCGAAATGATGTTTGAGAACTTTAACGCGCCTGCTTTCTACCTGTCCAACCATGCCGTGGTAGCTCTCTATGCCTCTGCCTGCATCACAGGCCTGGTGGTGGACAGTGGACATGGGGTCACCTGCACCGTCCCCATCTTTGAGGGTTACGCCCTGCCTCATGCAGTCACCAAGCTCTATGTGGCAGGGAGGGACATCACAGAGCACCTCATCCAACTCCTCTTTGCTAGAGGGTGTACTTATTCTGGCATTCTCAACAAGGCCTTGGTGAATGACATTAAAGAGAAGATGTGCTATGTAGCTCTGGAGCCATGGAGAGATCTATGCAGGAAGCCTAGGGAAATCTTTCGTGAATACAGACTTCCTGATGGGAATGTCATCCACCTTGGGGACCAGTTACACCAGGCACCAGAGGTTCTCTTTGCACCTGACCAGCTAGGCATCCACAATCCAGGACTCTCGAAAATGGTCTGCAGCAGCATCATGAAATGTGACGCTGACATTCAGAGGAACCTTTTTGCAGAGATCGTACTGTGTGGCGGCTCCACTCTCTTTCCTGGACTGGAGGAAAGGCTCATGAAAGAACTGGAAGAACTTGCTTCCAAAGGGACCCCCATCAAGATCACAGCTTCTCCTGATAGATGTTTCTCTGCATGGATTGGTGCATCCATAATGACCTCTGTGAGCACTTTCAAGAAGATGTGGGTCACTTCTGAAGATTTCAAGGAGTTTGGGGCACCAGTGGTTCACAGAAAATGCTATTAAAGATCCCTGAACACAGACGATGACCCCAAGTGTAAGACTGGAAAGTTACAGCGTCTCTTGGCCTTCAGCATGATGTTCAATAAAGGGGTTTTGACATCACAGGTTTCAGCTTATTATTGGTAATGCTAGAATTTCTGACTTGTCTTATCAATATTTAAGTGATTGTACGCCTCTCTTCTTGTTCTATGGGCCTCTTAAGTTGTTTTCTCCTTAATCAAGCTTGATTTGGGTAGGTTTCTCAGAATCAGTGTGTTAAGTGGTTCTGTCTCCCAGTGCCCAGGAGACAGAATTACCAATGCAAGTCAAAGAAGGGGTAAGAAATGAAGCAGAAACAAGAAGGCTAAGCCATTGCTAAAGCTCAACAACTCTTTCATTGGGTTGGCCTTTAGTCAGAACAACCAGGTTCTTGCTCTGCTGTTATGTGATCAAAAAGCTAAATAGAATTGAGAGAAGAGTTGAGCACAAAGATTACCATTTCTTATAGCTCTTCTAAGCTCAGGGCCCTTGCTCTCATTCAGAGCATTAAGAAGCAATACCTCTAATTGAAAGGATTATATTACAAATGTCAGCCTGAATGAAATAAAACCATTTATCAACAAAATTAACATTTTAAACATCTTTGCAACTCCGTGCTTACTTCTGTCACACTACTAGCCTACACATAGCCGTGAAAGTTGTCAAATGCTGGAAATCACTATAAATTAGGCCTTTTAATTTTTATACTTGGGTACATTTGTTTAACAGCAATTAATTGGAAATTGCAACCGGTGCTCATGATGTATAAGTAATTTTATATTATATAATTTTTATTATATATTTTGATATTATTAATTCATAGTCAAGACTTTTAAATGTGGGGCAGAGCAAGATACTCCTAGTGCAACTGAGGGATGAAAGAAAGCCAAGCTGTGCCTGGCAAGGAGTCCTTGCCTTGAGCTGTGGCTCGGATGTGCAGCAAGGTGGCAAGGGGCTGGATACAGTACATGATCCTTGAGCAACAGAGTTGTGACACACTAGGAAAGTTTTCTGTGAGCTGGGTGATCAGCCCCTCCAAGGAGGTCCAGGAGGGGAGGAAGCCCTTTGAGAGGAAAGCCTGGAAGAGTGGGCGCATCTAAACAGTATACAGCAGCCAGTTGTGAGGGGTGATCTGAGCAGATTTGCCACCGGTTTGACGGCAGCAGAGAAGGCCATACTTGGAAGGTCTTGGCAGCCAGGCGTTGGCCATTGTGGGAATTTCAAGAGAAGGTCCTGAGAGCAGGCCTCCTACAGGGACACAACATTCTTAGCTCTGCCTGCTAGGATCGGACCTCCAACTGTGACAGGCTCAGGGACTCTTGCACCTCATGGGAACTGTTGTCTGGGGGCTCCGTGAGTCCTGCTCCTGAAGGATTCTGGAGAGCTTTGAAATCCCACCCTGGTGAAGCCTGAATGCTGAGGAAATAATCATGGGATCAGTGTGGACAATTAAGGTGGGAAACAGGTCTATCCCTGGGAACTAGAGAGAGGTTATTTAATGGTTTTGTTTATCCCCTAACCCTATACCACTACCTGGTGTCCTGGCAATATATTGCAACACAAATATATTCCTTCTAAAGTAGCATTCTACTGCCAATATATATGCTTTTATATATATGTATAGGTGTAAGTATATTTTTTAATTTTTTATCAATTTTTTCCTTTCTCTTTTATTCTTATTGTTGTTGTCAGTTTTATTTTTCTTTGTCCTTTTCAGTTCCTTTATTAGTTGCTGAGGTTGCTTATTTTTGGTTATTAGAGCTTTATGTTATTTTGTATTGATGTGTTTTTGTCCTTGTTAATTTGTTTTGTTGGTTCCTTTCTTTTTTTGTTTTTATTGATTTAGATTCATGGAGGGTACAAAGAATTAGGTTACTCCTTGTGGTTCTTAGGTGAAGTCCCTGATACAATTGTGTTCCGTACCCTAGGTGTGCTGTACGCAGTGACTCCCCCATCTACCTCCCCTTCTCCCCAATTTCTCATTCCCCTACCCACTTCCCTGGTATTATATCATCCACTGCCTTCAGGTTAGAACTGAGTACATTGGATTCTTGCTTCTCCATTCTTGTGATGCCTTACTAAGAAGAATGTGTTCCAGCCCCATCCAGGTTAATACAAAAGATGTAAGGTCTCCATCTTTTTAATGGCTGGATAGTATTCCATCATATACATATACCACAGCTGGTTAATCCATTCCTGGGTTGGTGGGCATTTAGGCTGCTTCCTCATTTTGGCAATTATGAATTGAGCTGCAATGAACAGTCTAGCACAAATGTCCTTATGAAAAAAGGATTTTTGTTGTTGTTGTTCTTGGTAGATACCTAGTACTGGGAATGCAGGATCAAACAGAAGGTCTAATTTGAGTTCTTGAGGATCCTCCATACTTCTTTCCAAAAAGATTGTAACAGTTTTCAGTCCCACCAGCAGTTTAAATGTGTTCTCTTCTCTTCACATCCATGCCAGCATGTGCAGCTTTGAGACTTTGTGATGTGGGTTATTCTCACTTTGGTTAGGTGATAATCTCATGGTGGTTCTTATTTACATTTCTCTTATGATCAGGGATGATGAGCCTTTTCTCAAATGTTTGCTATCCATTCTGCTGTCCTCCTCAGAGAAGGTTCTGTTCATATCTCTTACCCAGTGGTAGATGGGATTGTTTGCTGTCTTTTGTTGATTAATTTAGGTTCTCTCTAGATTCTAGTTATCAACCCTTTGTTAGATTCATATCCTGAAAATATCTCTTGCCAATTCTGAAGGTAGTATTTTTGCCTTACTTGTGTCCTTAACTGTGCAGAAGCTTTTTAGCATAAGTACGTCCCATTTGTTAATTTTTGTTTTTGTGATGGCCACTGAAGTATTTGTCATAAAATCTTTCCCCAGTCCAGCATCGTCAAGAGTTTTCCCCACACTTTCTTCTAAGATTTATTTTTTTCTCATTGT